TCAGGACAGTGATTTGAATCAGTGTCCCCCGAATCAGCCAAATCCGAAGCGAACACTAGCCACTTTGCACAGGCCCAATGTGTAGCTATATTCATTAAGGGCACTACAGAATTTTGCACAGCATACAAACACGCTGATAGACATACACAGCCAAATATACACATGAATACTCATTAATAACTGCCTTGTTGAAAAATATTCTTTTTTGCATAGTGTTCTAGAAATAGCTCTGACAGGAACAGTTTTGCTGCCAAGTCACAGCTCATCAACAAGACTTTTATTTATTATTTGTATAGAAGGTGTGTGTGCATCCTTAAATTCTCCTGTGCAGGAACCAATCTATTTGCATTTTATAAGGGAGGAAGGAGGAAGTTTGCTCTTACTGAAATCTATTGTTCAAGAAAAGTTTAACCAGCTGATTTTCAGGCTGTACTACTTCAACATGAACATAAATCCACCGTTATGCAACAAAGCATTTAGGCACATGCTTGAAGTTCAGTGGTTCTTTGCTTAATAGGAATATAAATTTTGTGCTAGTTGCACTGAATTTAGTGAGTTGCACTATATTGCAATAGCATTTGGAATTTGGCTTGTTGAAAATGACACAGTATCAAGTGATGCTAGTCTTTTTGACCTTAAAAAATTTTATGTTTGTTGCAGGATGACTAGGAATAAACCCTTATTGTACCAGTGTGCCACCAGTATTTAAAAAAAAAAAAAAAAAGCCTCCCACAAAATTCCTTCCAGGGATTGTAATAAACATACTTTGGGGGGAAGGAGGGGGGAATCAACCCCTTAGAAATGGAAACACTGTCTTTGAACCACACTAGTCCCATTATAAGCCTCTACAGAAAGTGAAAGAACGTGGGAGAAAAAGTCTCATTCATTTCCTTTTCTTGCTATTTAAAACAAAAGCCTTTCCTTGTCACCATAACTAGGAAAGGAAGCTATGCTGTTCAGCAAACCTCTGTTTAACGTATTTATTGGAAGTGTTTATATTTGGTTCTGATAACAGTAACAAGTACATTGCAAGTGTATGACGGTGTCCAACTTGTAAAATGTAAGACTGAGGTGTTTGACAGAAGAGCAGAGAAAAGTGTTTGATGTAGGGCTTGTAAAATCAAATCTCAATAGAGGTGGTTTAAGAGGACAAATACATTTTTGAAACTCAAAAAAGTGGTGGCAGGCAGGTACTGGAGTCAGAGTGGAACAGGAATTTATGAAATGTGAAAGCAGAAGATGCATTTATGACAGAATGGACAATGGTGAGGACAAAGTAACATGACTCAGAGGCTGGGAGATAAGAATAACATAGGCTTGACCCTTTCTAACTGCTTATTTTAGTTTAACTGAATGGAAAAAAGATCCCAGACAAACCTCTTGAGATGAGTTTTCACCTAATCTTTCCTTGCAGTTCTTAATATTTTTAAAATTAGTCCACAAGACTCTCACCTTGTAGTTTAGAGCACTGGGAAGCAATTTTTTCTGATTGTGGGCCCAAATTATCCACCTTGGGCCAATCCTCTGACAGCTGGTGCTTCTCCCCACAGCAGCATGTGGAGAGTGCCCTCATCCAAAGCCCCGATGCCAAATATTGCCAAAGCCCCATATTTGCAGGCTGGATCCAAAGGTTTCCTGGGCTGTATACAGTCCACAAGCCATAAGTTTGTGAACCCTAGTTTAGAGAAATTCATACCGGCCATCCTGGAAAAGTTGTGACAACATTCAGACTAGAAGAAGCTGGGAGGAAAAAAGTTTATAGATCTTATGCCCCTCAGGACTCCCAGTTAAGAGGGCCGAACTAAAGAGTCACTTCTAGTAATGTTGCCTATAATGCTTTTAGAACAAGGATGCAGAGAAAATGCCTCCCCCTTGGTGAGAACTGAGCTTAAAGGTGTAGCTTATGCAATTTACACAAAGCTTTACTATTTTAAAAATATTGTGTACAAGTTAGTCAATCCACAGCTCAGAAGAGTAGATTAGCGTTGGTCCTATTTTGTAGGCATTAAAATCGAGGCACAGAGTCACTGAGTGGCTTGCCTAAGGTTACAGAGTCAGTGGCTGAGCCAGGCTTAGAATTTAGATTCATAGGGTACGTCTATGCATTGCCCTACGTTGCTGTAGTGATGCACTACATTGCTGTACGGCATGCTGCACCAACATAGCAATCACGTGATTGGCAGCTGCTTCACCACAGCAGTGCACTCCCCTGTTTTCGTGTAGCGGTGAAATCTAATCGTGCACATGGCATAGTACGGGCAGTTACTACACTGTGCTTTACTACTTCCAAAAGGAAGCCCTTGATCATTTCATTGCCTGCCTCTGGACCTTCTCTAACTTCTCCACAGCCTTTTTAAAAAAAATGTGGCATCTTGAACCACACACACTACTCCAGATGAGGCCTAACTAGTGCCAGGTAGAGAGGCACTATTAACTCACATGTTTTGCAAGTAATGCTTCTATTGATTCAGTCTAAAACTGTATTTGCCATTTGTGTGTGAATCGCACTGCAGACTTTTAGAGTCTGTGGTCTATGAAGACACCCCAGTCCTTTTCAATAGGGCTTCTATCCAGCCAGGTGTCCCCCATTTTGTATTTGGGTTTTTGATTATTCCTCCTGAGGTGTAGTACCTTACATTTGTCTGCACCAAATGTCAATTAACTCTAGCCCAACTTTCCAGTCTGTTGGGATCCTTCTGAATTGGGTTTGCATCCTCCAACATGTTCACAATCCATCCTAATTTAATGTCATCCACAAACACGCTCAAGAAGCTTTCTATAGCAGCATCCAAATTATTAAGAAAGATATTGAGCAACACTGGGCTGTAGCAGGTTGTCAACTAGCCTGGCTCAAATCAGTCCTCGAGCCCTTTAATCCAGCTCCTTGCAACTGTCTTTTTCTGGGATCAGAAACACAGGCTGCAATGCCTTGTGTTTTTCTGCTTCCCAGATTTCAGATTAAAAAAAGCAGACAATCCACATGAGCACACCTATAGCACATGTCCCACAACACAAGCTTCAAAACCCTGGGTTAATTTGCACCACAGGGGCTCAGTTGCTATTACAAAATAATTCCAAAATAAACACTCCCAGCAAGGGCTAGTTCTCACCCTTTGGTCTTCCTTTGAGAAGTCCTCCCCTCCCATACAAACATTCTCCCATCTAAATACCATCACTGTCCCTACTTCCTCTTCCTGTCTCCTTTTACTTCTGGGTCAGCCAATAAACTTCACCTCATTATTAATTAACTGAGTCAGCTGTAGCCCCTTAGATGGGTGGCTTGCTACCAGCTGGCTAATTGCTCCAGGCTGCCACCCTACATCCTGTTACACAGGCCTGGGACAGACCCCTGTGAGATTCCACTCAAAGCCTCTTGCCATTCTGACATGGATCCATTAATAATTACCCTTTGCTTATGGTTATTGAGCCAGTTATCTATCCACCTTGTAGTAGTTTTATGCAGCTTGCATTTCTCTTTGCTTATGAGGAGGTAGTGCAGGACCTTGTCAAAAGCCCGGCTGAAGTCTGCAGCTTTTTTGTCCTCTAGATGCTTGCAAATGGCCTTGCTTGGGATATGCTCCAGTAACTTCCCAGGTATTGAGGTGAGGCTAACTGGTCTGTAATTTCCCAGGTCCTCCTTCTTGCCTTTTTTAAATAGGGTGATCATTAGGGCTGCGCGAAACAGCGCTGTTCCGTTTCGACTTGTGTTTTAACGTTTCAACGGAACAGCGTTTTGTTTCAAACTTTGTTTCGATTCAAAATTGCTGTTCTGTTTCATTTCATCCAAACAATTGCTGTTTCGACACTGTTTTGCCATTTTGCCCATAGGCTATAATGGGGAAGCTCAAAACAGCCTATAACTTTGTCATTTTGGCGTGAGTTGGATGAAGCTTGCAGGAATAGGATCCCCTTCTTTGGGCATGATGCTTGCCAAGTTTCAAGGAGATAGGTGTAGGGGTTTCAGGGAAACTGTACCTCAAAATCTTGAAAGCAAAATACTTATGTCACATGTATGTGTTAAGCCACAGAAGGGTCAAAACTGCAGGCTTGCTAGCCCCTGCTAAGGCCACAAAGCCTGCCAAGTTTCAAGGAGATAGGTGTACAGGTTTAAGGGAAACTGTACCTCAAGCTGTCCACAAGCAAAACTCGTGACATGGGTAACATTGTGTGTGTTAAGACTCAGCAGGGTGAAAGCTGCAGGCATGCTAGCCCCTGCTGAGGCCATGAAGCCCGCCAGCTGTCAAGGAGATCAGTGCGGGGGTTCTGGGTTCTGGGGCCTGCACCTCTGGCTGCTGACAGGCAAAACTCATGTCATGGGTGCTTGTGGGACTGTGTCTGTTTTGGAGCACAGGGGGGGTGAAAACTGTAGGCCTGCTAGGCCCTGCTGCAGCCACAAAGCCTGCCAGCTCTTAAGGAGATCGGTGCAGGGGTAGTCTGGGTTCTGGGGCCCTGCACCTCTAGCTGCTGACAGGCAAAGCTCATGACATGGGTGGGTGACACTGTGTGTGTGTTAAGGTGTGCCCTTACTTGACTGACACCAAGGCAGAAAGCAGGGCAGTTCAAACAATGCTGCCTTTTATGCAGGTTTTCCATCCCTCCCACAGAGCACTGGGACTGGAAGGGACCTCAGGAAAGGATGACAGTCACTGGCCAGCTGTCCTTCCCCCTTCCCCCTCTGTATCCTTACTTTAGTTTCTGTTTCCCTGCAGGCAAGCCCAGCTTGAGCTTCAAAACGCAAAATGTTTTGAAAATTTTGAAACGTTTCTATTTGCCTCGTTTCATTTCAAGGCTGTTTCTAAGCTCTCTGTTTTGTTTCAATTTTGCTGTTTTGAGCTCGAAATGAGTCGAAACAGTAACAAAACAAAACTGCTGGTGAAATTTCACGCAGCCCTAGTGATCATATGTTCTGGATTGGCTGAGACAGTCCCAGATTTTGGAGGCTGGCCCCGGCCAGCATGTGAAAATTAAAATGACTGTCCCAGGAAAAGGGTGTGGAGGCAGAGCAGCCGGAGCTGTGAAACAGAAAGCCCTATTAATAGTATTAACACTATTTGCTACTTTACAGGTAATTGTTATGTTAATATCTATGAAGTAAAGAACAATGGGTCAAGAGCCTGCAATGCGATGCAGCGGCTAGTAAAGAGACCAAAACGCTGGCTTGCATCCATAGATGCTTCTCAAGCAAATCCCGGGACGTCATTCTCCCCCTGTACTTGGCCTTAGTGAGGCCGCAGCTGGAGTACTGTGTCCAGTTTTGGGCTCCGCAATTCAAAAAGGATGTGGAGAAGCTTGAGAGAGTCCAGAGAAGAGCCACACACATGATCAGAGGTCAGGGAAGCAGACCCTACGATGACAGGCTGAGAGCCCTGGGGCTCTTTAGCCTGAAAAAGCGCAGGCTCAGGGGTGATCTGATGGCCACCTACAAGTTTATCAGGGGTGACCACCAGCATCTGGGGGAACGTTTGTTCACCAGAGCGCCCCAAGGGATGACGAGGTCGAATGGTCACAAACTACTTCAAGATCGTTTCAGGCTGGACATAAGGAAGAACTTCTTTACTGTCCGAGCCCCCAAGGTCTGGAACAGCCTGCCACCGGAGGTGGTTCAAGCGCCTTCATTGAACACCTTCAAGATGAAACTGGATGCTTATCTTGCTGGGATCCTATGACCCCAGCTGACTTCCTGCCCTTTGGGCGGGGGGCTGGACTTGATGATCTTCCAAGGTCCCTTCCAGCCCTGATATCTATGAAATCTATGAAATACCAGGCCGTTGTCTCCCTGCAGCAACAGAGAGTGGAGGGGCAGGGGCAGGCAACATCCCAGATTTCACATTGTCCCATATAGCCACTCTGTTTTTGAATAGGCGTCCTACATTGGCCCTTTTCCAGTCCTCTGATACCTGGACTGTTTCTCACGACTTCATGAGGATCATTGCCAAGGACTCTGAGATCTCCTCTACTAGTTCCTTCAGGACCTTGAAATGAAGCTCATCCAGCCCTGCTGACTTGAATTTATTTCAGACACAACAAAAACTCTCTGACCATCTCTTTTGTTATGTCTTCCCTCAGTTTGCTCCCTTCCTTATCCAGATAATCCCTGTTAGGTATCTGGCAGCTTAAATTTTTTTGAGAAGACTGAGGCAAAGTAGCTCTGCCTTCTTTGTATCTTTGGTTAGAAGTTCTCCCTGACTTGTTAACAGAGGACCCACAGTTTCCTTGGTCCTTCTTTTCTGGTCAACTTACTTATAGAACCTCTTCTTGTTGTCTTTGATCTCTTTGACCAGGTGCTGCTCATTCTTTATCTTTGCCTTCCTGATTTTGTCCCTGCAGTTTCTTGCTATTTCTTGGTATGCATCCTTGGTGACCTGTCCATTCTTCCATTGCCTATATGTTTTCCTTTTGCAGTTGAGGCATTTAGAGCTCTTGTGCAGCCACATTTGTCTCTTGCCATTCCTTTTGTGCTTCCATTGTGTCAGGACAGGATCTTCTTGGGCTTCCAATACTGTGCCCCATAGAAGCTCCCAGCCCTCCTTGGCACTTTTATCTTTCAATCTATCGTCCCATGACATCATGTCTATTAGCTTCTTGAGTTGGATGAAATCTGCCTCTCTGAAATCTAGGCTCCTAGTTTTGTTGACCACATGCTTTCCCTGTCTCAGGATCTGGAATAGTATTGTATTGTGATCAATCATGATGCAAGTATTGCTGGCCCCTGCCTTTGTACAGAATCCATATACTAGTGAGTCTTCTGATAGTAGCATTTGAACCAGATAAGGGTAGTTACACTTTCAGATCAGATTCAAGATATCTGTTTAAATGGACTCTCTGGAAGCAGGTATGCATTCTATAATACTGTGCTCTGAAAGTGGTTTTGTATGCTCTGGTTTTATTGGTTGACAGGCTGTTTGTTTAAGACTGATGGGAGCACTTTTGTATGCTTTGGCTTTGTTGTTATTTTCATTTGTTTTTGAGTACGGAGTTTCTTTTAGTTAGCTTATCTCTATTTTAAAAATCTTATTTGGTCTTGTGATTTGATATTTTGAGAAAGCTCTGGGTAATTTACACTTGCTGTAAAGGCATGAGAATGTTTGATTATCCCAGAGAATTCAGTAGACATCATCACTCTCTAATAGTTAACTGGTTGTTCCTCACAACCATTGTGGCATCTTATGGATATCCAGACTTTCTGATATCCAGATGACGGTATTGATTGACCAAGATGATTAGTTTATCTTTTTTTGTTGTTTTTTTTTAAAGAAAATCTTAAACATTCGGTGCTAGACAAGAGTCATCATACAGTCAATGGTAATTGCAGCATCTTGATCCCACAATGGCTTTCTTTTGTTTGGTGATTTTGAATGTAATAAAATATTTTTTTTTTAAATCACCAGTAAGCTTTAAGTACTATAATCATTTTATTCATAGTTTAGTCATCTAAGCAAATTTAAATTGTCCTCCTTCATAACACTATTAGAGGAGAGGAAACAAAACCCCAGTTCATCTTTAAGAAACAATTTTATGTGATTTGGGACAGTAATCGTATGGCCATTGTATAACGTCAATACAGGCTATAGTTTAGGTTGCTTCTCAACATGATTAGATTTGTCTTAGGTTTCCTTGATTTATATCTTTGGGAGGATTCATTTCAACATCCCTGCAACTGAATTTTATCTTAATCGTTGATACATAGTCTCAGACTTATTTTCAGACTTAACCCCTTGACTGAGGTTTTGTTTGAACTATAAAATATTTCCAGCTCCTATGTGTTATCAATAATATTTTAAATAAATTATTATTGCATTATTGAAATTGGAGGTGGAAAAGATGGAATAAACTACACCCACCGAGGATGCAGACCTCGTTTACGTGGCCTGTTGGTGTATTGTTTCATAATTTGGTTTAGTTTATGAGAGTATATTTGATGCTATGGGTTCTTTGAGGCTAACCATCTAGCTGGACACAGCAGAGTCATCTTGCTCTCAGTCTGGGGAAGACAGAGATGTTGCTGAACAGGGATTGCTTTTATGAGATGACACCTTTGTGTCTCATCTCCTTGGATCAAGGAGATGCATTTGGAGGTTTTTTGGCAGATTAACAATCTTGGCATTGTTTTTTTAACATGCCTCATCCATGGAAAGCCATGTGTCAGACATGGCTTGGAAATGTGGCTTTCAGATCCAGTTTGCATAGGTTTACACCTTTAATTCATCTCATGACAACTTGCTGATGGCAACATATGCTGTCATGACCCTGAGGCGTAATTATGCTACTTGTAGTTCCTTTTTCTCTGAGTTATTAATAAGGCTGATCTGCAGGTTCTTCAGAATGCTCATGGGTCTGTGCTATCCTGGTTGTAATCAGCTTGCTTTGTGCACTTTGCATTTCCTGGCTATCAAGTTATGGATTAAGTTTGAATTAGACTTAAAGATTTAGAAGACTCTTAATGGGCTGGCCCTGTTACTTTAGTGAGTCCTTCTTTGAGTGTCCAACTAACAGGTTGGTGCACTTGCATGTAACATGGTGTTTGGGCATTCGACCACTGTGCCGAAAGTTGGCAGATGCCTTGACAGTTTTTAATCTTCCCTACTAAATTCCAGCTCATTTCATTGCTTCCCATTTTTTAAAAATAAGGTTAAAAGCTTCGTTTTTCCCCACAAGGTATTTTTAAATTGCTACATCTGCTATTGTAGGCCTATTGTTTTTGCTTATTGATCTCTCTCTCTAATTTTGCCTGAGGTGTTTCTAGTACTGAAAAATTGTTGCATGATTCTTTTTCAGCACCCAATGTGCTTTTGTGCTTACTCTGACTACTTATGTGGAACTGCTCTCGCTTTTAACTAAAGGGACATGAGGTAAATACGCTGTAAGATATTACAGTATACTATACTATATTACTGTCTGTAAGACTGTTTAGAGTTGTGCAAAAATAGGTTTTTACTTGTTACTTCCTTTAAACCAGTGCCTTCATATAAAATTTTCCTGTTTTCATCTAGGGAAAAAATGCTGAACTTGCAACATATGGGCCACATCCTGCTTTCTTCCTTTTTGTTTAAACTACCTGCCCAAAACAATACTGAGCAGGGATTGAGAGCCCACAACATTTCCCCACCCTGCACAGTTTCCGGGTTAGACAGTTTAGTGAGTTCAGTGAACTTTCCATCTTTTCCTGATAATGCCCATGTGACACTGAGATCAGATAAGCTGTATCGGAAAAACAGGTTTCTCTTTAGAATGAAGGGGTGGGGATTATGAAAATGTTTACCTAGGTTAGGCAAATGTTTGTCCTCTCTCCTTTCTTTCATTAGGAACTCTTAAAGCTGCTTCATAGTTTCAAAAGAATGAAAGCTGTAAAACAAAGATGGGAATTTCTCTTGGAGAGCTTTACCTCTTAGCATTCTGCTTGTGGAGACCTATAAGCAGGTACTTGCTGGCATTTGTAACATAGGTAAGGACGTTTACTCTGGGTCCATATATATATATATATATATATATATACACACACATTATTTTGTTAAGCATTCTGATCTTCTGCTGAAGTGATTTTAAATGTGGATGAATTGTACAATACTATTTTACTTCTTTCCCCTATTTTTTTTATTGAAGCCAGGCTTTACAGCCTACTGTAGATACCCCACAGTTGATAAGAAGGTGATGCCAAGAAAAGTACCTTTTGAAGGATAAAATCCTTTGTTATGCTAGAGTGTGATTTATGTGTTTGGCACAATATGAGACGTGAATGACAGACTTTCTGCTGATTTTATTTGCTGTACATTAGTTCATAACTTTTTTGCTCTTTCAATCTCTAGATGAATTCTGACAGTTGCCTTACCTAATGTTTTAGCAGATATGGACTAGACAAGCAAGCAGTGAAACATTGTTTGATTCTTTGACAGTCTGTTTTTGTCCTGGTTATATATCATTTGAAAATGTAAGATATCACTGTGCCTATTTTACTATTTTCCCTTCAATTTTCATTTGGTCCTTGCACAAGTAAATTTCCACTGATGTCAATTGACATATGGTTGAATAAGGATCGATAAAAGGACCTCAGCATTTGGCCCACAGTGTAGAAGGTGTAGACAGTACTTTTTGCAAAGTTGGTTAGATATTAGATATGAGGACAGATAATAAAGTCTTTGCCCTAAGAATTTACTCTATAAGCTCACAAATAGGATATGCATATGAATGAACTGTACCAGAATATTTTACTACTTTCCTCTATTCTTTATTAAAGTCAGGCTTAAAAGCCTACTGTAGATACTTCACAGTTGCTAGGAAAGTAAGGCTAAAGAAAGTACCTTTGAAGCATTAAGGTGCTTGTATAGATGCAAGCAATAGAGAGTACAGTCACATGAGTTTTAGCGCACACAGGGGCTGAACCAATATTAATTGATTTCAGTGGTCTTCTTTCCATAGACTTTAATAGGATTTAGATCAGGCCTGTAGTCTCTCAGCTAAATTAGTAATAATTTAGAGCAAAATCTAGGTACTCAAATGTGAAAGGAGTACAATGAGCAGAAATTTGGTCCCAAATGAGGATGAGGGAAGTTACTTGTGAAACATCTGTTAGATTGGGTCTACCAAGTAATTTGTAACATTTGTTCACTAATGCCACAGCAGTTAAATTTAAGCTTCTGTGAATTTTAAACCCACATCCCAGGCTACGAAGGGGGCTGGCTACCTCTTTCAGAAGAAAAGAATAAACAAAACACATCTAATTAAGGGAAACATTTGGGGTCTGATTCTCCTCTTACACCAAAATAAACAAATCCATTGTGGTCAGTGGAGGTAACCCCAATTTCATTGAGAATCAGACCCACTCTTTTGACATGAAGCAAGCACTGATCTCTTCAACCCTCTCTATTTAGCATTTCCCATGCAAAGCTCGGCAGTTCAGCTGGGTTTGATAATTAGCTGAAGGTGCATTATTAGGGGCTTGATAAGTGATACTCTTCCCACTGACTTCATATAGATGCAATGTCTTGCCTTGACTCTTTCCTTTAATAGCAGTCTTCAACAGCAGTTCACAAGAGGATGGAGCTAGACTGTTCTCAGTGGTAGCAGATGACAGAACAAGGAGCAATGGTCTCAAGTTGCAGCAAGAGAAGTTTAGTTTAGATATTAGGAAGATTTTTCTCACCATTGGAACAGGTTACCCAGAGAGGTGGTGGAATCTCCCTCTTTGGAGGTTTTCAAGACCTGGCTAAACAAAGCTTTGGCTAGGATGATCTAGTTGGGGATGGTTCTGCTTTGAGCAGGGGGTTGGACTAGATGACCTCCTGAGGTCCCTTCCAACACTAATTTTCTATGGTTCTATCTTCATTTTCTCACCTAGTGGTGTTGTCTTGATCTAACACTCTAAAGCAGTTGTTCTTCTTCAAAGGCTGGATTCTCTACAGTTTTTGTGTAGATTTGTATTGTATCCAATCAGTGATGCAACAAGTAGAGTAGGCACCTGAGGCAAACCCTGTGGGTGGTGCATGGTTTCGGGTGGTGGGGCAAGAGGGAGAGCGTGCAGGTTCTGAGGGCAGGGGGAAAGTGCACGAGCTCTGAAAGTGGGGTTGGAAAGTGTCATCAGTCTTACCCACGATAGGAACTCTGAAACAGCCCCTAGCTGCGCTGCTGCTGCCACTACTGAGCACTTTACCTGCCTCAGCTGTTGCTCTTCAAGTGGCAGCAGTAGCTGGGGGTTGTTTTGGTGTTCCCAGAATGCATAAGCTCCTGGGGCACAGACTCTGCAGGGGTAGGGGTTGATTTCAGCATCCCTCTTAACTTGGTGCCCAGAGCTAAGTACCCACTCCTACTTATACTACTGTATTCAAGTTAAGACATTGTAAGGAATATGCCTTCTGTTGTCCATTTAGGCTAAGTACCAACAGTCAAAAGGTCTGAGGCTGAATCGATTCAGTTTTCACATGTTTGTCTAAACTGTGGAGATTGAACCAATAATGAAGTGAACTGACATTCACTTTTGAATCCAGAAAGGCAGCCAGATGCCTGCTAGAGCCAAGGAGTGCTAACGAATGCCTCCCAGCCTGCTGGCCATTGCAGCAGGCATCCAAATGCAACCAAGTAGGGCCTGTTCTTGATTGGCTGCTCAGCACGCACCCCCAGCCCCCTGCTGTCAGCCTGCAGGGCAGGAAACAGTCCCTGCAGCCCAGGATCCAGCAGCAGGGTCCCCTGAGCCCTATTGCTGGTGTAAAGGAGGAATTCCCCATCCCGTCCCTCAGCACAGTCTGGTGCCAGCTTAGCTCTGCCCCCACAGGTATGGGGGGAACAGTCCCTCCAGCCCCAGGGATTCCCCTGACTCGGCAGGATCCCTGAGCTCTTCAGAGGGGGAATCTCTCCTTCCCACCCCTCAGCTTGGTCCTGCACCAGCTTGGGCCCGGGCTGGAGGGACTGTTCCCCCAGCCTGCAGCTCCAGAGGTGGAGTTAAGCAGTTTCTGGACCACACGGAGCGCTGTGAGGGGCAATGTCCCCCTCTGCAGTGGTGGTAGGGCTTGGGGGACCCTGCCTGGGCTGGGGAAACTCCCACTGAAGCACAGGGATCTAGCTGGCCCTGGACTTCAGGTACTTTTCCCCCTGCTTCCACTTGTGTATCAGTGGCTGGTGTGGGTCTGGCGGAAAACCTTGCACACCAGGGATTGGGTCCGGGGCTGGGGAGGGAGGCTCTGTTCCCCTGCTTCTGCCCCTCACCCCCCACACTGCTGGGCTGACCTGTGGGGTATAGGCAGGTCCAGGGCTACAGAGCAAAGGCTTTGCTGCCTCAGCTCTATAACAGCCCAGGGGCAGGATCAGGCCTGCTTGGCTGGAGCAGATAGTATGTGCCAAGGCTAGCCTGCCCGCCTTTTTGGGGTGGGCAGGGCAGTGGGGGAGGTGCAAAGCATTCTGGGATGCTGGGGGACTGTGAGTCAATTTGAATTGGGAGGGGATCTAGGACAGAAGTTCAATACATCAGTTTAAACCTAAATCGGTTAAGTCTGATACTACATTTATCCAGGTCTCTCTTAAACTGGTTTCAGCCATTTTGAAACTGGTTTATGTGCACTGAACTTCTGTTCTGTTATAGGTTTAAACCAGTTTCCGATCACTTAAGCCAGTTCATGTGTAATGTCTGTCCCTAGACTTAAGGACTAATGAGAAACATGAGCCTAATTTCTTTTTTAGGAGAATAAAGGACCCCAAATAGCAAAGAGAGGACTGAGGAATAAGCAGAGATGGGGCTCTGTTCTCCTTTCTCCACTTGATTGTGTTCTGCTTCTCTACTTCCTTTGGGGTGACATGACGTGCACTAGCTCTAAAGTATAGACCTGGTTGGTGGCACAATCCAAACTCAAATAACTCAATAGCCTCTTCTGCCCAATGCCTGTATAAATTCCTTCTGTCTTTGTATGGGATGCTCTGGAATGAAAAACCTTTAATGCATTCTTGTAATTACTGATGTGTACCAATGCATTTTGTTATCAGTTCCAAATAGGAATTTGACCTTTTACATTAATGGGAAGAGGGGCAGGCCTTTTTATTATCCTATATCACATAAAATAAGAAATGACACAATGGATGCCTGGTGTGATAAATTACTATGACTGTCAGAATTTGAACGGATACACAGAGTTACTAATAATGATATACTATTCATTTTGAAGACAAATTACAATTTTCTGCTTTGCCGTTAGGTACAATGTATTATACCCCTGTATAATAAGGGATTCTTCTCTCCCACCCACTTTATGTTTATTGTTTTAGCTTTATTTTGTATAGAATGAAACTATTTTATGTAGATTTCCACAGAACCAAAGCAAACATCCATTAGGTGCTTAATGACAATCATTGTCTAAAAACTCTACCTTGTGTGCTACTCAGCAGCTTTTAGTTCCAATATGTCAAAAATGTCATTATTATGTAACCTTTTAGTATCAAGTACCCAGAAAACTGAGGTGTGAAATGAGGAGTCCACCTACTCAGTAAAACTCCAAAGTGGGGCTCACTACAAATGCTGTTTATTTGTAGCTCTACCTGTTACGAGGGGTTTAACTTCACCTCGTTTTTTCTAAGCATGAAGCATTGGTCCACAGATCTAATTATTTTTCCCTGTGAGCTTTCACGTGGAAGTTCCACATCCTGAATATCAAGTTCAGTGTCCTTCATTGCTTGTGACGGTTTGCAATGCAAATGGGAGGCTTTTTATCACTTAGTACCATATCCATGGTAACCAAATGAAGACAAGTTTGCATTACTTCCTTAGTGAAGTGTAATCCGTCCCCTTGTGCATGTGCCAAAGGGTCACACTGTGTTAAAGAGACAGCAATATATTTCTTAGAGGTAAAAGCAAATAAAGCCATTTCTGTTTTTGTATTTCTCTCAATTATCACCCCTCTCCCTGCTTTTTCCCACCCTGTGATTTATTTTTCCCCCCTTCTCATCTTCCCATCATTAAAAACTAAG